TATGTTTGAAGTGATATTTATTTGGGATTTATATCTTAAAACGTGAGATTAAATTTTATTAGATAAGAAATTGTGATTGAAATTTATATTAAGCTAAAGTCTTATTTTATAGTCTGTCTAACACTTAAAAGATAGGTTAGAAAAAATAATAAAAACTAATATCACAAATCTCTTAAAAATTATTTACAATGCTCTTTATGATAAATAATATAAGAATGGATTCATGAAACATAAAACATGGTTAATGGAATATACTAATTTTGTAAACAAATTAATTGCCAGCAATTGTTATAAATAATAAAAATAACTTATTTATTAAAAATGATCAAAGGGTAGTAAACATGTTTAAATTCATAACTACTGCATACTACAGTAACTAAATTTAAAATTTAATAAATACTGTATATTTACTATAAATACTGTATTTTTAATATACTTAAGTGTATAATAATAAATAACTAATGTTCATATTTTATTAATTTAAGCATGTAAAATTTATTTATCATTAAATTGGAATGTTAAACTTAATCTTACACTTATTAGTTAACGTTAGATTGCAATTTACTGTAATTTTTAATATAATTTTATTATTTAGTAAAAGAAATAATAATTACTTTCAAGAATAATAAATAGATAGAATAGGATAATCGCCGATCACTATTCAGGTAAATCATCCCATAAAATAGCAAATAAAATACACTTACAATGTATTTCAATTGAATGCATTTCGCAATAATAAACCAAATCATGTGTATATCTTATTTAACAAATAAATATAAAATAAATGCATTTCTTAGACAAATGAATGAATGAGACAAACGGTATTGTCTGTCGTTTTTCGTAAATAAAGTTAGAATTTTATTTTTGTTTCTCGAAAAACATTTGTTTCTAAACTTCCCATCACTGAAGGCATTGAACAATACTATTGTAAAGTAAAGTAATGACAACTGACTTCTTGAAAGGAAAGGGATGACAAATGCTTATTGTTTAACAGTAAAGTGTTTTTTTATAAATGTTAAGCAAAAATTAGTATTAAGACAATTCCTTACTTATAATTTTTCAATTAAAATAACTTCCGTTTTCATTGAGTTTTCGGATGATTTTTAAAAATATACAAATTATTTCATTCATTTTAAATGCAATTACTTGGACTTAAAATTCTAATAATACTCTATAGTATAGAGTCTATAACTATAAATTTATAGATTATAAAATACACTTTACATAAAATATGAATTATATTAAACTGTGAAATATTAAATAAAAACAATACAAAGCGATTAACATAAAAATAAACATGTCCATTTATACCTGTATAAACAGATTAACCTATTATTAGTCATTTTAAGTAAAGTAAAAAATTAATTTAAAACAAGGATCACACAGCGATGCTATACGTTNTACTGTAATATGCAGTAGTTATGAATTTAAACATGTTTACTACCCCTTGGTCATTTTTAATAAATAAGTTATTTTTATTATTTATAAATTATAACAATTGCTGGCAATTAATTTGTTTACAAAATTAGTATGTTCCATGTTTTATGAATCCATGTTATATCATTTATCATGAAGAACATTGAAAATAATTTAAGAGATTTGTGATATTAGTTTTTATTATTTTTTCTAACCTAAGTGTTAGACAGACTATAAAATAAGACTTTAGCTTAATATAAATTTCAATCACAATTTCTTATCTAATAAAATTTAATCTCACGTTTTAAGATATAAATCCCAAATAAATATCACTTCAAACATATATGTAATTGAAGGCAAAGTGTGTGCTCTTAATGATTGTTAGGAGTTTTGTCTCTTATTTAAAGTTATTAGAACTTGAAATCCATTGTTTCGCTCAATGGGTGACATATTTCGGTGTTTTATGACATTATATGACACTTATTCCGACTTTTAATCGTCTTTTAAATATCGATATAATCTTAATCTGTCTTTCTTTCAATTTTTAAAGTGGTATTCTTTTAATACTAATATGATTGACATTTTTAACATTATAAACACTATAAACATTTACTTTTGTATTATTCAATACATTTATTGTTCATTTTGTTATCAAGAATTTCAATAGTTTTTTGAAGGGTTGTTATGTGAAATCAAATCAATTGATCTCTAACTTTACATTTGAAACAATTAGTAAATTACAGATAAATAGAGATGCACTGAATTATTAGACAATTTTTGTTATATTTTAGCTCTAATTTGGCGACAATTTGGCAAATGATTAAAACAACAATTTTTCAAAAATACATTTTTTGTGAGTTAACCTCAATATATGTATAATTAAGGTTAGGTTCAACGCTCACTAATAGATCTCATTTTCACTAAATATCGCATAAATTTAGAAAATATGAATTTTGAGCACTTTTTGAATGCATCTATTTTTAGTTCACTGACATTTCGCTCACATTTCTTCATTTCTTTAACGACCAAATGTTTAGATTAAAGATTAGTTTTGAAATTTATTTATCATTTTAATGCCATATATTAGTGGCCAAAAATCATTAATTTGAATTTTTTAGATTTTTAATTTAAAACTAAAGCAATAATTAAATTGTTTTTATTGGTAATTGTTTATATCATTTATTACTATATATTCTACAATATTCTTTCACTGATCGCTTGATATGTGTATAAATAAAAATTATTCATAAAATGTTTATAGACAACCGGATGTGTAAACCATAACTAATTTGTCAATTGAAATGTAAATTTAAAATTACACAAAACAAATCAATAGCTTATAAATTGCGCAAAAATAATACCTTTCAAATTGGATTTGATTTCAAAATATGAATACTTTTCATGCAATTCGTGAAAATTTTATATAACAATAATTATTCAATTGAATGCATTTTGAGATCATATACTGATATGAAGTGTAAGAAATTCATTGTGTTTTACACAATATATTCTACTTTATACTATTATAGCATACATATAGTGTACAGTAGAGTATATGGATAGTGTTGAATACTCGATAAGAAATTTATAGACAAAACTAACAGTCGTTTTTTGAACACGAAATGTACTCAGCACACAAATTATGTAAAATGTGATGTATAACATGACATAACACTTAAGTGACATCAGTAAAGCTCTGTATAGCTCAGTATAGTGTACTTAAAGAGTATTTTCTTTTTGCTCGACTGAGCGGAACAGACATTTGGAAAGTAGTTGTCGTTGAGGTAACAGTTAGTCTGTTTGGCAAAACAGTTAGTATAAGAGTTACCGATACTTCAGACACTGGAGAGATATTTGAAAAAAAGTTTACAAAAATAATTGAAAACTTTGGAAATTTTCAATGTTTTGTCATTGAAAGTGTGATAAACAGTTACTAAACTTTAACTTTAAAAAAGTTTATATTTAATACACAGCAGACATACGTTTATACCAACTATTTATAAAGGTTTTGTCAAAGAAAAAACTTTTTCTTGTTTTAAACCTTAAAATTTAAAGTGTGATTAACAATGAGAACTGTTTGAACGAAAAATCAGTAGTTTATTGCGGATTATTTTGTTTGTATTTGCGATTAACATTATTAATAAGTGGTGGTATACCTGTTGCACAGGTTGGCTGTTTGGTGTACTGGAGACGGGAGAAGGGGGTCTATTCCCGTGTGAATACGTGGTGCCCCTCAACAGCCAGGAAGTGGTGAAGATTTCGCAAAGAATGGTAAAAAATAAGCATTTTTTGTGATTTTGTACATTTTTGTGAAAATCTTTTATGCATAACATTTTAACCGACAAAAAATGTTTTGCTCTGTTTGTAAGGATGAGGTGAGAGGCGTAATGAATGGTCACACGAATGGTTTGAGTTCCCCTCATAACGATATCAATGATAAACAGGACCTCAAGTCTAATGACGATAACTCCCTTC